ATGTAATGGACCGCACCTTTGCAATCGCAGCCGAGAGACAAGCTGTTTGTCATGTATCCTCCACCATATTCACCCAAGTCAAAGGCATGCTTCCTCTGATGTGGGTGCTCAGGATTGCCATATGGAACCACCATCTCGGCCAAGGACATGCGCCAGAAGACTGGTCGAACATTTCCCTTGTCATTGAAGGTGATATTGTTCAGCACAATGCCCTCCTTGTAATTAAAACCAATGTGGACCGACCAATTCAGCCATTGAAGTGTCCTGCCCTGAATTTTGAACGAAACTCCTTCTGGTTGACTGATCTCTAAAGGCTTCAAGTCTGTCCTGTATCCACCTTCCGCCTTGAGCGCATCGGCATGGTAATTGATTGGTGGTGCTTTGTTCAATGGCCGCCGCTGAGGAGGTACATCGATGTGAATGATCTCTCGGGTATCGGCATTGAATATGGGGCAAAAGTCTAGTGGATAAGTGTATTGACTGTCGTCCAGGCTGGGTCGGTAGTACATGAGAGCTTGCTGAAGACGAACTTTGTTGCCGAAGCGCTCGTCATACCCAATGGTCCATGGGTCGCAGTAAACCTTGTGCATGTCCTCAGGAGGAATGCCTAGTATGCCGCACTGCTCAATCACCTTGGGATCTTTCCTTACGATGATTTCCACAAGCTGGAGGTCTTCCATTGTGATAAGTGGCTGTACCCCGTCTGTGAGTTCCCATGACAAGACGGTACCGGAATCAAGGTCGACGAGGCCATCATAAACCTTACTTCCTGGGCCGATAGCTACGACATCTGCGACCCTTGCGGGCTTGGGGACATTGTTTGGGTCGCTGAGCCAAAGCATCATCTGCGCTTTCGGAGGCTCTGCCAAAGAAACGGCATTGTAAAATAAGCCATTGTGCTGCTGGTTGATGATGCCTACAGCTTTGCTGATCTCGCTGGAAGAGAGCGGATCGAGTGGATGGACCGGTGCGAGCTGTCCGGTGAAATGCGAGGCCAACTGCTGCACGCGCTCGAGCATGGTGAATGGTGTTCTTGCTAGGCTATGATGGAGCAAGTGATAGAGAGTTTGTCGGAGACGAGGGTGAAGAAGGAGAAGAACCCAGCTCGGAGCTGTATTTGTCTAGTGGCAGAGAAGTCGAGCACCTACCGTGGGGTATGAATGTTGTGGTCGCGCTGAGCTATTGACATGGATTATTTTGTAAAGGACAGCCACATCATCTGGAAACACAGGTTGTGGATGGGTAGCTATCGGTGGCGGCAGCGAAGTCGGGCAAAGATAAAGACAACCCCGCCATGCCCGCATCTTATCGGCGGCTAGCATTTCCTCTTTGGTCCAACCCTTCCACGACCCCGCGGCTTGACATATGGTATTTGGTTTGTGTCCTTCGGGGTTGCGATTTGCGGAACTTGCAACATGCAGGTCGGTCTGATTCGCAGTCGCAGGCCGCTGCCAGCACCCCTTTCTCAATCCGTTGTAAGATGAGAAGACGACGAAGCATGCAGCGAATCCTTTTCCAATTTGTGGTGTTTGCACTTTTTGCACAAGATCAAACCTCGGTCACGTGTATCGTCTCCCAAATTTGATCAACAATACCTTTACCACCAGAATACATCAGTTTTTGGTATACCTGTAGAAATAGAGATTAACTCGAGACGAATGACAAGTTATGTCACGTCGTAGCTGACATAATGTTATGTTTCGAGTACCAGCGAATTTTTATGCGGCTGTCACGGCTGTATGGGCCTCGCAAGTCAGATCGAGATGCTCAAACAGTGACGTGATGCAAATGCTGAGCCACCTTCGAGGGCGGCGGCAACATCGTCTCGACGCTGGCGATGTTCCCGGATGTCCGGAGAATACTGTTTGTTGAGCCGGTTTCAGGAGCGAGAAATGTAAATATTGCAAAGATGGATACACAGAACTACAGTCACAGCACTGCCCCTGGTAATAAGGAGACTCGACCCTGCACGACTGTTTGAAGATACCCGTCGTGCTGTCAGAGAAGTCGGTGCACGGCGCAGGTCTGGCGTCGATCTGGCTGGAGATCTTTGAAAAGGGTCAAGCCCGTCAAAGATTTGCCAATACGAGTACATGCATTTCGAATCGGGATGGTGGTGTCGCTAGTCCTTCAGATGACGACTTCGTCCTCGTGTTATAGCATTATTTTTTGAATCTGCCGGGCCGAATATTTGCCGCCGGTATCCTCGAGGTCGTGTCATGGATTGTGGCTATGCAAGCTTAAAGTGTCTGGGAGATTGCCGCGAGTGCCGGCGGGCCAGGCGATTGGGGGGAATCCACAGCTGCGCGTCCACTAAGATGGCCTAGTTGTGGACGCCTGGCGCCCTTTGTTCCGCTCTCGTTCTGCGGACAGGCAGGCTGCAGGCTGGATCCTGACCCCTGATCCGCCAAACCTTCAGCATCCCCAACGGCCCCTCAACTCTGGCCACTGGTTTGCTCGCTTCTCGAGTCTGCGACATCGTCACCTTTGTGTGTGTTGGTGTGGGCCCTTTGTTGTCTGCCATGTCTGAGATGTCCGTACCGAAACACCCGGGAGGCGGACGTGGAGCTGGCGATCCGTTGCGTGTCCCTGTGCTGTGCCAGTGTAACTTGCGCCGCGAACACCACCTTGCGGGGCCTGACCTGACCTGGCCGCCCTGACTGCCATTCGCCTGACAATCAAAATTATCTCCTGCCGCCAACTCTTCCTCCCTCCTTCCTCATACCACTTTTTATTCGCCGTCCTTTTCTTTTCCATCACACGCTCGTTATCGATCCTCTAGTGAATCGCATTTGCTTACTTTGGGTATCCTGCCTGCAGGCAGACTTACGTCTCTAACACATTTCTCCGACCCTTCCTCGCGTTTCCGCGACGTGCAGGACTTGGCCTCGGCTTATTTTGTATCCATCACAAACTCGAATCGACCATCAGAATGCGTGCATTCTTCGCCGCCGCCCTTGTGGCTTCCGGCCTCATCTCCTCTGTCGCCGCCGGCATCACCAACCCTGTAGACCCCCTCGTCATCAAGGGCTCCAAGATCTTCTTCAAGAGCAATGGCACTCAATTGTTTGTAACATCGTGATTTTTCTTATGGGAAACACCTCACTAACGCATTTCACCTACAGCTTTATGAGAGGTGTTGCGTACCAGCAGGATTACTCAGGAGGTGGTGCCAACGGTAACGGTAGTGCTACAGGAACCAACTACGTCGACCCTCTGGCCGACTCTGCTTCCTGCAAGCGTGATGTTCCATTGCTTGCTGCTCTTGGCACCAACATCATCCGTACCTACGCCGTTGATCCCACTCAGAACCACGACACATGCATGCAATTGCTCAACGATGCCGGCATCTATGTCATCTCCGATCTGTCTGATCCCACAAACTCCATCAACCGTGACGACCCTCAGTGGAACGACAACCTCTACGCTCGCTACACTTCTGTCATCGACAACCTCTCTCAATACAACAACGTCTTGGGCTTCTTTGCTGGTAACGAGGTCTCCAATGCCAAGAACAACACTGCCGATGCGGCCTTTGTCAAGGCTGCCGTTCGTGACATGAAGGCATACATCAAGGCACAGAACTACAGAGCTATGGGGGTTGGTTACGCGACAAGCGATGATGCAGACATCCGTGTCGACATTGCTGATTACATGAACTGTGGTGATGCGTCTACATCCGTTGATTTCTGGGGTTACAACATCTATTCGTGGTGTGGTGATTCCACCTACGAGACTTCTGGTTATGCCGACCGCACCAAAGAGTTCGCCTCCTTCAACGTTCCTGTTTTCTTTGCTGAGTACGGATGCAACAACCCAGCTCCTCGTACCTTCTCCGAGGTTCAAGCTATCTACGGTTCCAACATGACCCAGGTATTCTCTGGTGGTATTGTCTACATGTACTTCCAGGAAGCCAACGACTACGGTCTCGTCTCCATCAGTGGAAACACTGCCAGCAAGCTCCCAGACTATACCAACCTCCAGAGCCAGCTCGCCAAGGCTACACCCACTGGTGTCAAGATGGATGCATACAATCCTACCAACAGCGCTCAGGCTTGCCCTACCGATAGCGGCTGGCAGGCATCCGCTAGCCCGCTTCCTCCTACACCCAACGCTGAGCTCTGTGAATGTATGATGGCCTCCCTGGAGTGCAACGTTGCCTCCAACGTTGCCACCACCAAATACGGCTCCTTGTTCGGCACCGTCTGCGGCTTTGCAGGGAAGCCTTGTGCTGGTATCAACACCAACCTTACCAATGGTGCTTATGGCGCTTACGGAATGTGCAATTCCACCCAACAGCTCGCCTTCGCTTTCAACTCCTACTACCAGTCCCAAAAGAAGAACGCCAACGCTTGCAACTTCAACGGTGCTGCCACTACTCAGAGCTCCTCCTCTCCTAGCGGTACATGTTCTCAGCTCCTTTCTGAGGCTGGTACTGCTGGAACTGGGACTGTCACCAGCTCGCCCACTGGTACTGGCGGATCCAGCTCCGGCTCCGGCTCCTCAGGCTCAAGCTCAAGCTCCAAGGGTGCTGGCTCCGCTCTGGCTGTACACCACGTTTCCTTCGGTGTTCTTGGCTTGAGCATGTACGTTTTCGCTGCGGTGGCTTCAGGTGCTGCTATGATCTTCCTGTAGATGTAACAAAAATTGGTGGCCTTGCTTGGCTTTGACCCAATGGGATCGGTTGATTGACGGCTGGGTATCAACTCGGGTACTACTTTCAGAAGTAGATTAATTTAAATACAAAACTTCTGTACCACTATATCATTTTCATCTTGTGCTTGTGTCATATGTTCGTACGTTAGAGTTCTGGAACTAGAAAAAGCACGTAGGGCCATTCCAATGTGTTCATATACTATGGCTATTGATCCATGTTGATGTGCCCGCTATAACCTCGTCAACAGCCTAAAATTGATGATGTGAGTTGTATATGGGAACAAAAAGTACAAAGGGTGCTGTTACGCATCACCGTTTCCTTTTCACATAAGATGGCAAAAAGTCGATCCCGAAGGGATTCGAACCCTCAACCTTTGGTGTGCTTTCGAAAAGACCGAAAACCAACGCGCTACCATTGCGCTACGGAACCGGAATATTAGAAGGTCTCGGAGGTTAAGGAAATATATATATGTCAATTTGTGGTCGGATGTCTGCCGGCAATCCTAACCTCCTAGCTTTTTGTGTTGGAGCTTCATCTTCGCACCTTCCCAACAACATACGCAGTAATCTACACCAAGAGAACAAGGTCAAGCCTCTTTACATATCTCAAACGAAATGATGCAAACATGCTATGATAAGTTGCTAACGCGAAGAATGTTAGCTATACCCGCCCGTCTCCCATGGAATGCAAGGGGAGATTGGGCTCTGCGACATGTCAACACCGGCATGAAGGCCCTTGGCTAAGTACATCTTGAAGACAGTGCGTCGCTTCCCATGTTTTTCTTTCTCATCGTGAAGTCGTCAACTATGCATTTTCACACTCGTGACACGCCCCGCGGCCGTGTCTCTCTTCTTCTCCTTATTCCGTTTGCTTCGGTATACGCAGCGGAAAACGCATATGGCTTACCAACAGCCGTTGTGACAGACGCAGTGCCTACCGCCAGGTTTGCTGGGTCTGGCGGTGTCGATGGCATCTATACAGTCACAGGTTTGTAGCCAGATTCGCTACTCTCATTGCTTAGCTCTAACCTTACAACAGAGTACCCAGCCAACACCACTGTCACCACGACGGTCATTGAGACTCTATTGGACACAGTCGGAACATCGTTCACAGCCACCACGTCAGCTGTCGCCTCATTGTGCTTCACCTGCTTCTTGACTCCTGCAATCGTCCAGCCAACTCTTGCATTTGCCCAGAGACTTGTGGCTGCAACATGCACTAGCCGGCCACGCATTGGCACCACAACGATTTTCTCCACAGCCACAATCACATCATGTGCGACACCTCTCACATGTCCCAAGAGGACCACCAACATCTTCACCACGCCTAGCCCTACAGTCCGTCCAGGAGGCAATGGAGGTAACGGAGGTGGCACAGGCGGTAGTAGTGGATCAAGCGGTTCGACAACCATTCCGATCTGCCCAGCATCGAACGGTGAGACCTTTATCAGTAGCTTGGGACAACTCTATGGAATCGACTGTGGGAAATACGTCACAGCCTCAACACTCACTGCACTCAACACCTCCTCGCTGGCTAATTGCATCAATGCTTGCGACAAGTTCAACGTCGCAAACTTCATGAGCACCGACCTGTGCCAAGCCGTGTCGTTCTTCCCTACTCTCAATGACGGAAATTGCGCTCTTAAGTCTGGGCAGGGCGAAGAAGCCAGGGCTGGTGTCAACTCTGCCATATTGCTGACACTCTATCAAGGGGGTGGTAATGGTACCGGCGGAAATGGCGGAGTCTCAGGCGGTGGAGGAGGAGGTGGTGTCTACACTGGGGGAGGGTATGGGCATTCAACGGCTACTGCTGGATGGGGACCAACTACTGTGATTCATGGCACCGTCACCGAAATTGGACCGGGAGGTTCTACTATGTACTCTGTCTATCCCATCACTACCGCTTACTACACTGGTGGGGGCGGTGGAGGAGGAGGAGGGGGCTCCGGGACTGGTGATGGCAATGGTAATGGCGGCTCCGGAGCTGGCGGTGACGGTGGGTCCGGTATGGGCAATGGTGGTAATGGGTCTGGTAGCGGTGGCTCTGGATCTGGCGGAAGTGGTGGTTCTGGGACTGGTGGCTCGGGGACTGGTGCCTCAGGTGGTACGGGCCTGGGTACAGGTCCAGGCACTGGCCCCGGTACTGGCCCAGGAACCGCAGCAGGGACTGGACCTGGCACTGCGCCTGGCACTGCACCTGGTACTGGTCCAGGCACGGGTCCTGGAACGAATGCTGCAACGACGACCCGCGGTGTTCCTACAAGCATTTGGGGCACTACCTCAGTATTGTCTACCTACGTCTCCAATGGTGTCACGTACGCATCTACATATGGCGTGAGTACCGTGGTCTCTGTCTCGTACATGCCCGCCAGCACAAACACAGTGACCACTACCACGGTCAGCGTCAGCGTCAGTGTCTCTGTTACCACTGCATCTGGGGCCACGCAAACCGTCTCGGGCAGTGGTGGCAGTGGTGGTAGCGGCACTGTGACGGTCACAGCATCTGGTAGCGGTGGCGGAGGCACTGTCACTGCTACTGTTATCAGCATTGTCACTGCCAGCTCCTCCAAGTCTACTTCGACTTCAATCTGTCGCACGTACTCTACATCGTATCTTACTGGAGTTCAGCCTCAGGCCACTTACGTTCAGAAGCGTGGAATCATGGGCGATGTCGGATATGGAAAGAGAAGCGTTAGTGTTGCAGTGGTGGAGCCTGAAAGCTGGAAGGTTCTGGAGGCCTAATTGAAAGATTTGTGCTATTTGGGAAGATATTGAGTTATATGAGTTAGTCTAGTTAGTCTGTATATTTTACAGATTTGGAAATCGATTTCATGGGCCCGGAGATGCAATAATTCTGAACATTAGATGCCGTATGATTCCATTGAAATAAAGCATGATATCAAATCCTGGCATAGACAAATATATTCGTTGGCATTAAGGTTTACGCTTTTTGTGTATGCTTTGGTAACAAACAAAGAGTTGCAGGGCTTTTAACGGGAGTGGTGGTTGTCACCAAGAGTTCGGGGGGCAGTTCCGCATCTTTCACTACACCTCACCACCCATCCCGTCCCCAGAACGACTCCAATATAGATCCAACATCAAGGCCTGGTCTTCGCATGCAACAATGGAGTTTTTTCCGCTGTCCTTCCTGGACTTCAAGTCTCCCTCCTCCTCGTCGACCACTGCTTTAATGATACTCAACACGCCCATCACCTCCCCTGACCTTCTCAATCGTTTGTGGGGCAATTCGTCCCTACACATCTGCGCCGACGGTGGCGCCAATCGCCTATTCGACCTCTACCAAGGCTGGGATACGCCGATGCGCGGCTCCTGCGTACGGATATATATTCATTTATTCAGCAAATTTTTCTTTACACTTCTAACGCTACTAGATTCCCGAGGAAATAACCGGCGACCTGGACAGTCTACGGCCTGATGTGAAGGCTTTCTATACCAAACATCGTACCGCTATCGTGCACGACACAGATCAATACTCCACGGACTTTGAAAAGGCGCTTTCACGAGTTACGGCCAGCATGGTAGGGGTCAAAGACGTGCTCGTGCTCGGATCGCTATCAGGCCGCGTGGACCATGGACTCGGTCTGTTGTCTGGGTTTTATCGCGAGGTGAAGCGGCGGCCGGAGATGCGCCTGTGGCTATTCTCGGAGGCCAGTGTGAGCTTTGTGCTGCCGGTTGGCGAATCGAGGGTGAAGGTGGAGAGGAGTACAGGGTTGGTGACGGAGAACGTCGGCGTGCTGCCTGTGTTTGGACCTGCGAGAATTACGTTGGAAGGGTTCGAATGGGATGTGCAAGACTGGGAGACGGAAATGGGAGGCAAGGTCAGCACTTCTAATCATGCTAAGGAGGATGTTGTTGTTGTGAAAACCGATAAGGCGGTGTTGTTCACGATAGAGCGGAGGGCGTGATCACAATGATGAATGACGGATACCAAATCCTGGCGGCGGCAATGAATGCCGCGGCATCAACGCTATTGCCTTATCTTTATCCATAGTGTGATGGTATACTGCAAAGAGTCGCAAGGCTATTGGGGGGAAAGGGACCATCGGTATTGCCCAGGCTAAGTCTCGCCAGAGACCGCACTGCTGTACGACCCGCTACCCGCCCTACACCTTGGTAGGTGCCCTGTCGACCTTGTCGTGTGGCAATTTGGTTGACCAGCAGGATCACTAAATGTTTCACCTTTCTCTCTGCTCCTCGATGTGCTAGTCCTTGACCATATACTGGGGCGATTTTTCCGGGTCGTAGCACCGCTACATGCTCGACTTCTCGCCCTACGATTCGACGGGCTCTTAATTTGAACACGAAGCGAGGAAGAGGCGGGAAGGGGGTGGAGTAGTGCAGGTGATCGAGCGCTACCGAAAGATTCTCGTTATTCGTATGATAGGAAATGGGACGCTATATGATATGATCTATAGTTTCATCTTGGACAATCATGATGACACTATATGAGCTCAATCTCTTGATTCTCCCTCCCGATCCGGTCCCGAACTTGCGCCCTCCTCAGCCTCCCTCTGTTGTATCGCCTTCTGATCCGAGTGTTTCGCTGGATCAAAGACGTAGATTGGGAATTCAAGAAACACAGTCCTCTTCATCCAGACAGGGAGCCGCGAATAGATTTGAGGCGGAAATGGGATCAACATAGATGTTCGATGTAAGTAGGCAGAGTACTCTGGCCAGCCCGTGCCCTGCTCGTACTTCTTCTTGGCGGCCGGACGCTCCTGCAATGTCAATCCAGAGACAAACATCAACAATATAGTGAGGAAGAGCGGGCCAACGATGGAGGCATATAGAGCCGCACGTGCGCCGCCTTGGACATAATTAGTGGCTGCCGGCGTTACCGCAACCATATAAATGGCTGGCGAAGTCAGACACGGCATTAAGGTAACCACGAGGGGAGAAAACACACCAAATTGCACCAATATCTCACCCGCATAGTTGGGGTGCCTCGAGAAACGCCAGAATCCTTTGTCACAGATCTCTTTTGGTCCTTTGTGTCTCATCTTGTACCGATACTTTTCAATATCGGCAATAGCTTCCATGAGGAACCCGATTGCCCAGAATACAACGCCGGCAATGTCGCTACCCTTTCCAAACGAGGGCTGAATGTACTTCTGCACGTTCGGGCTGTTCAGAAGCGTCACAGGCAGTGACACCGTCCATACCCAGAACATCTGAAAGACCCAGAAGCCCAGGAATGGGAAGAACTTGTCGCGCTTGTCATCGAAGCGGTCATCCTTGCCAGTCTTGAGAATGCGGAACAGCAGGAAGCCTGACAGGCGGAGGGCCCATAGCATGATGAAAAGCGAGGCGACGATCTGCCGAGCATTGTCATGGCCATTCCATCCTGTAGCCGTGCTGCCTAAGCCTAGTGTGATTATCGCTAGAAGCGCGAAGTTGGTGCCGCCAGCG